CTGTGGACCATCTTTAAATGTTGTTTTATGTTTTTTTAAATAGTCCTTGAAATATACATTGAAAATATATAAAAAGGAGGCCTGCATAATCAGGCTTGAGGTATAAATACATTTAGCAGAAGACAACCTAGTCCTACAGTTTAGAATATTTTAAATTGTGCCTTGAAAAAACGAACCACTCGTAATCTTATATTACTTTTGAAATATAAATCTCTGTTTTTCTTTTGAAGCTGCTTGTGCTTTTTTTTTTAAAAAAAAAAAAAAAAAAAGTCTTCCTGCTTACATTTGTAGAACTGCAATCTAAAGGGAAATATTGCAGATTTACTGTTTTCCATAAAGGAGAGTTTTAGTGATGGAAGCTCTTAGAAGGCAGGATTCTTTGATAGTTTAGTGAAGGAAAAGATGCACATTTTATCTAAAACTAGTTGCCTTTATATTATTAAAAATATGTTCTTCACTCTCCTTTATATTTACTTTTTTTTTTTTGTGGCATGTGGGGAGTAAGTAATTGTATTGTCTTACCTTAAAACTCCATTTAGATTTCTTTTGATTGAATTTTTTGAACACAGACCTCTTTGAGCCAGATTCCATAACGTACTTTAAGAAAGTAAAGTCCAGTTTGCTCATCTTCAGAAAAAAAGAAAAGAAAAAGAAAAAAGAAAGAAACAAAAAGTAAAATAATGCTATTTCTAGGAATGACAGATATTGTGAATGTTAACAAACAGTTAATTCTGTTATATTACAACACCAGAAGTAGAAGTRAATATATCTAAGCTGTTCTGTACTGTTTATAGTTCTTCGTTTGCTTTTTTTTTTGCTACATATACTGCTTTTGTGTAACTATGTTATCAAAGACATTCAAGCAAATGTCACTGCATTCCTGCAAAGTCCTTAAAAATATGACACCATCTATAAAATTGCATTTTAGTAAAGGCCTAAGGGAAAATGAATATGCCATCATAATGACACACCAACCAAATGTTTGAAGCTGTCTAAAATAGATGTTTTCCTTGTCAGGCAAGACAGTGATTTACTTAATCTTMACTCCCGTTCGTAAGCCACAGAAGATTATATTCAGCAGTAGCGTTTAGTAAATCCCTCAAAATACCTTGCATGCTTTGGTGGAAAACCACTGGTTTATATTTTTTCCAGAGCCTCTTGTACATTTTGACTATTATCTTTGTATTCACAAATCTAATATTGGTATATAAACTAATGCTTTCAGTTTCAGGAAAATTGGTATATTTGCACAATCCAGCTTTAATCAACTTACTGACTCCCTGACTTAGGTTGGGAGCCCTACCTTGGACAGGAAACGTGCTTTGTAGGTAATCCCTGGAGAGGGGTAGGGTCCTCCACAAAATGCTTCAAAACATGTGGTAAAATCCTGTCCCTCTGCAGAGTTTGAACAGGGAACCTGAAGTTAGAGTGTATTCATTGCCATTCATGTGTTTGCATTCACTTGCATTTCTTCTGGATTCATTTTACCTACAGAGTTAGTGCTTGCAGTAGTTAAATAGCATGGCTCTTGGAGATGCTTTTCTACTAGGGTCCTCTAGAGCATTTAACCTCTTTTTACCTAATTCTTTTCTTGGGTTTTTATCAGCACTTGTTCTCAGGAAATCTATGGATCTGATGGACAGATTAGATAGGTATCTTGATATATACTGTAAATTTCTTAGAAGATTTTGGTTTTCTTTTTTTTTGATTGCCATGTAATTTGGGTAGAGACAGAATGGTAGCAGAATAGGCCTTGCAATTGAATAGCAATCAGATCTTAGGAGTGTTTTGCTAAATAATTTTCCTGCTAACAAAACAAATAGAACAAGGCAGCAGAGAAGCTGTCAGGTTTGTTTTAAATGTCAGATATTACTGTGTACATATGCAGTTCAAAGCACTTTGCTGAGTGATTCTCTGTATTTAAGTGGGATGTAAATACATTAATCTCAGATTAAGTACCATGAATTAAGTAATTTGTCTGCCTTAGAAGACCATGCTTTCAAATATTGACTGTCTTCATTATCAGACACSTGTCAATGCCTCCTTGAAAGTCTTCTGCAAAGGGTTGAACTTGCAGCATACGTAGCCCCCAAACTAGCAGACTATTCTGTAGTCAATGAGAGATAACTGCAAATTTCTTTGGAGATAGCTATGTAGGAGATGGACCTAGGTTTATTTATTAGGGTTTCTAATTACAGCTCTTTTACCCCCTACTTGGATTACTCTTGCATCTAGATGATTTATGTTGCTCACTGCCTTGCCTAGGGAGCATGCAATGAATTTTAGGTGATATAAACCCAGGCAGTATCTATACTTGCTTATGGTTATTAGTACTGTGACTCTTCCAGCCAGGTTTGAACTTCAAAGTTGTTAAAGAAGGCTTACTTTCTGGATTAAAGCCTGGCTATCTTTTTCTTCTGGCTGGCAAGGACAGATTGTTRTTTGTCTCTTCTTGAGCAGGGGGCTTGGACTAGATGATCTCTAGAGGACCCTTCCAACCTCAACCATCTGTGATTCTGTTACTAATAAGCAACAGTTGGTCTCCTTTTTGGTTAATGTTTTAAATGTGAGTTAAGCTATGTGTAATATAATTAAACTGTCTGCTTTGATACTGAAGAAGAGGGGTGCTCGTTGTGGACGGACATTGGGTTACCCAGAGAAAATGAGGCAGTATTTTGCTTGCCCTTGTGCAAGCTTGGATGGAGAGGCACATAGAGAAAACAAATATGGTTTAATTGTTAAGGTTTGTTTTATTCAACATAGATACTAAGGATATTTTCTGAAAAGAACATTGGTTCTAGGCTGAAATTTTAAAGGACCACTTTCTCTATCTCCATTTTCCACCTTAGTTTCTGAAAACATTTTGGATTCCCTACATTTAAGAAATTGGTATGTACGATATACTCCCTTTCTCTGTCTTTGCAAATAGCAACTAGAGTAGCATGTCCTGATATTTGGGTGAATTTGGGGGATGGGATGCTTTTCACAGAGATTAAGAGAAAAATACTGTATTTACTCTAATACCTCTCACTGAATTGCTGAAAAACAACAAAGCTTCCCCAGCAACCTTTATCTGAAAAATAAATCTCTAGAGACAACTTCTTATTTCAGCAGCAGATGTCCACTGCTAAGCTCTACAAATTAAGGGCACATCTGTGGGGAATCCCTAGATCCAGTTTTCCACTTGTAACAGTATGCACAAMAAATTGTCCCTTCTATCTCTATTTTTAATAATAGTTGAACCTTCTATCTCCTGTACTGCAAAATCAGTAATTTAAGCAGGTGATTCAGTATTTTTTGTGATGGTTGTCTCTTGTCAGCTTATCATAAATTATTAGATTTTGTAAATGCAAACAGATTTGTAAATATAGGTAGACTTACCAGAACTGAATGAGATTTTTGTGTGTGTGGTAAACAATAAAGTATAAAGTTTGCCTTGGATTTTTCCTGGATTGTCTTGCTCTACGCCTGTAGCAGAGTGAACTAATGGAAGTAAGAAATACTTTCCTTTCTAGCAGAACTCTGTATCAATTTATAGCCTTATGTGTGTGTGAAAATCCCCAAAGCATCCTAAATGAGACTTGGAAAGAGTTTCTTTAAATGTTTTTGTGCCCTTCATTGCCCCATCTCATCTTTTTTTTTTTTTTTCTTTCTAGCAGTAAGAAAAGCCTAAAAGGTCTTTGTTGCATGGATTTTTTTTTTTTAAACCAAGAAGATGTCTGTTTATTTCTTATTAGAAGCTATTGAATCAGTTCTAGTTTCTCCTCTGCTTAGACATCAGAAATATGAACTTATTTATAATAAAAGCTGCAGTGCTGCAGCTGAGTCTCTTAGGAATACTGTAGCTGAAAACTCCATTGAGGTTGAAGGTTTATTAGCTTTTATCTTAGGACCTGCAGTGCAAGTGTATGTGCATGTGTGCTCATTTTAGGTGGATATCTAAAGAAAGCCCTGGTTTTGGCTCTGAACTTCTTTGGCTCCACGCACAATAGATGCCCTATCCAGTAGATCCAGCAAAAGGTCTTATCTTTTGCTTTGGATAATGTTTTTACAATAATAAATGGGGGGGAGTAGAAAAAATAATTTCCATACTCTCATGATTTTATTTTGAAATATATCTAAAACACATATACCAAAGATCAGATTTAAGAATTTGAATATGAATATTCTGTAAGAGTCTAAGCTGACAATTTCTCATCTGAAATAATGTATCCCATCCTGGGTACGATATTTCCAATAAAATATAGACAAACAGAAAGAGTTCGATGAAATGAAAAAAAAATTGAAAAATTGGCCCTCACAGGAGAATTTGAAACACCTTAGTTTATTTAGTCTACTAGAGAGAAGAATGAAGACAACCTAATAATAATTTTGAAGTACTTTACAGTTAAAAAAAAAAAAAAGCGGGGGGGAGGGAAGGGAGCAAAAAAATGAAAGTAATTGATCATTTTTCATGTCTAGATAAAGGTTGAGTCTAAGATGCTTATTTTTTTCTAGACGTGAAAGTAAATCCAGATGCAGAAATGAGTCTAAAAATTTGAGTTTCTATTACTATGAGCAGATAAGAGCAAGGGTTACATGCCTCTTGCCCTGCAACCCAATACTCAGTTGAAGAAGATTTTAGAATAGCTGCAGAGCTTGGAGTTGGACTTCATCTACTGCTAGGAGAGTGGAGGTTTCCAATTGCCTTGGGGAGGCTTCCTTCTGCCCCTGCTGCTTCTCTTCCATTCCTGCCCAAAGGAACACATGGGCCATGTTTACAACAGAGCAGGTTTAGCAGAGATGTTAAACAAAAAGAAGTGCACGCTGTAAGTAGAATTGGTGCCTGTATCAGCAGACATATATATATATTTATATATATATATATATATAAAAAAAACTGTTAATGTGAAGAAGCAAAGAAAAGCAGTTGTAACTAGGAAGTCAATCCTATTTGGATTCTGGGCTTTTTAACTGAATGGAGGACTTGTTATTTTCAAGAAGCCAAAGTCAAAAGGAGCTCAAGCCAAGGAACTCTCAAACGGCTGTTTTTCCTCTGGAGTCCCATGCTGTCTTGCTGGGGCCAAGTGCTCCCTGTGGTACTTAGCAGTAATTGCCGCGTAGGCACAGCCATAAACAGCCGCTGCCAGCATCATGAGGCACACGATCCCGCAGACGACTCCGGTGATGACCACGGTGGCGATGGCGTGGCGCAGGCTCCCGGGCCGGGGCTTTGGCTTGGGCTCGCAGCTCGCGCGGCCGCTCTCCCCGTGCTCGCCGTGGTGGAGGTGCTTGTGGGAGCCTCGGTGCTCGAGGCCGTGGTGGTGAGCGCTGGCCACGTGCACGTGCGCCGTCCTCAGAGGACATGCCCCRAACAGCTCGTAGGGAACTCGGAGGAGGTCTTTGCCCTTCCGAATCCCCGGGGCAGAGCAGATGATGCCGTCACTTATTCCTCCTGAAAATAACACATTGCAGGCTTGAGCTTTGGCAGGTTCTGAGTTATCTTTGTGTAAAACAGAAACCTTAAGGAAACTTACAGGCAGCTTTGAATGTGTGCTCTTTCCAATTAGATCAAAGGAAGGYGCTTTCACCTTAATAATCACATAAGTGATTATTTGTCAGCAGCAATAATTTATCAGGATTCAAGTTTAAAAGCAAAAACAAATAAATAAAATAACCAGCAATACTGGTATAAAAATATGTAAATACAAATTCATACCATTACTTGTTTTTATAAATGAAGAATGGAAGCAATATACTTGGTAAACATATTCCCTTAGGCTTGACAGAAATATCCCATGAAGGAGTTATTGTTCTGACACCATATGTGAATATTTGTCATGAAAAAAAAGGAAATCACAATATTCACAGATTTAAAGAAGTTTACATGGTAGGCTTCAAAACTGTTGAGAAGCAGCTTCTCAACAGCTGAGAAGGGAAACAGAGATTTTCATTTTGAAGAGAATTTGCTTGAGAAAGTAATGAGCACAGATGGGCCCAAAACAAAATCTTCTCCACAAATGTTGATCTATCTTCTCCACAAATGTTGATCATTTCCAAGCTAGGTAATAGCATGGCAGCTACTCTCTTGGTCTTCAGTAGCCAAACCCAGAGCCAGGACCCTGATACCCCCAGCCTGAAGTGTGGATATGGATAAAGCTCTAGATTCTGCAACTCTGGCCCTGTATGGTTGTAAGGAACTTAAAAAAAAAAAAAAACATACTTGGAGTAGAAAACTGGAGCTCTTCCTGAAGTGAAGCCTTCTCTGTAAAAAAAAAAAAAAAAAAACATACTTGGAGTAGAAAACTGGAGCTCTTCCTGAAGTGAAGCCTTCTCTGTGCTTATTTGGGAATATGCAGTAAGTACCAACTGCCTGGCCTATTTCAGGTAAGAAATACTGAAACCTTTTGAATCTTACTGGCACAACATTCAACACTAATTTTAAATTTAGACAATGCTGTAGAAATATTTTGTTAAGGCTTGTAAGGAATATTTGTAGAGCCACAGTACTCTTTTGTAGTAAGCTTGTGATAGAAGTAAAAGGAAAGATTGAAGTGCAGTATAAATAATTTTTCTTCATGTGGTTTCATGTGAGTAGATTAACAAATTTAGAAAAGCTTTCTTTTATTATTTTTTTGAAGAAAAAAAATGACTAAAATGAATCTGTAAGGTCTATATCACTTCAATTTGTGAAAGGATCAGAAAGATGGGAGGGCACCCCTGAATGTTGGGGTTTATTTTTGAGATAAGCTACAGAAGCTATGCTGCTGGCAGGGTAATTAAAGTTAYCTGCTTACCATGGGTCATTACCTTCTCCTGCACAGGGGGATGCAAACCCCTGCTGAAATTGGCTGTGAATGCAACAAAAGCCTCAGACAACATAATATTTTATTAATCCAAAGTATTAAGATTTTAACCCTGAAAGGGGTTAGTCTTTGGTCTGTTTGGACAAAACTCTCCCTGGCAGTGAGTTTTTCTAGCCTGAAGACTGTCATTGTGCTGGTCGTATCCTTGCTCTGCTTGGAAGTGCTTTGCAGGTAACCTGCAGGGTTGACAGGGTTGCAGGGTTGGCAGTGAGGGGAGCTCTCTGAGATGCAGGCAAGAGGGACTCTGTTCACAAACACTGTGTTGTAATGTGCTCTGTGTTTGCTCTACTTAGTGATACAGATAGGAAGCCAGCAATTTGTATCACATTCAAGCATCAAAGCTGGATTTAGAGAAGAGTGAATTGCCCTTTTCTTTTGAATTCTCAAAGCCTGGACGTGTCTCTCAGCAGAAAGGAAGGAATATCCTTTAATGCTTAAATTGTTTCTCAGCCTACACTGTCTATAGATGGAAAAGACAGAAAAAGATGCTTTGGAATGATGAATGCTTATTTTCTTTTTAATCACAAAGCTTTTCTGAATGCAAGAAAAAAAAGACAGCTTCTGAAATACTCAAAAATAGAATTGAATTATGCTGTCTTTTACATGGAGCAAAATGAGTATATTGAATATGYTTAATAGCAGGTGCAGACAAAAATATGAGGCTAGTTTAAAAATAAATTTCACTTTGCCTCTTATGATGATGTTGCATATTTCTGTCAGGAAATGGTCCATGAATTTAGTACCTTTCGGATAACAAGAAATTAAGCACCGATATCATAAAATTATAAACATGTCCAAGATGCAGCAACATATATTCACAGAGAATATATTCTTAAAGTATTGAAGTACTTATTGGTATGTATTATGCCTTAAAGAGTGTTCTCTAAAGTTAAGTCAATATTGATGTCAGGATTGATACGAGCTCTCATACAGGTAAAAAACTTCTAAACAGAACATCTTGATGTGTAGCCAAAATGTACTGGCAGAATAAGAGTGTGTGTGTGTATRCATGCGTGCATGTGTGCTTATTTTATATATAGGTATGGATATATACATAGACATGTATTTCCAGAATGTATCTACACACAGTTTATATGTRTTTGTGTGTATATGTACATACTTCCTTCTCTCTTTTAATATGTTTATGTAAAGTTCCTCTATAATTCTCATTTGCCACCTGTATTTGTGAAAGCAACCATAATATGAAAGGATACTCCAAGCTATGCATATGAATAGATTTTAGGATTCTTAACGAATCATAAAATCATTATGTTTGGAAAAGACCTTCAAGATCATCAAGTCCAATCTCATTAGAGGGGATGTTCTCCCAGGTGACTTGTGCTGACCATAGTGGCTAAGGAAGATCAGATATTGGCATGTGCATCATATCTAATGAGAAAGGTTCCTTACCTCTGTATAAAAAGCTCTCCAGCCAAAGCTTAAGGCCAAAGACATTACAGTTACATTGCCAGGGATTATCTTTGAAGAGGACCACTTTCAGATTGGGAAGTGACTCCAGCAGAACTCTGTCCATCCTCTGAAGTTTGTTGTGCTTCACAGACAGCAGTGTTATATTCCCCGTGCTGTTTCCCAAAGTCTCGGGCAAACGTATTATGCTGTTAGATGACAAGTCCAGTTCTTTAAGGTGTGGGAGAAAACTGAAAGTCTTGTTTTCTATATAATGAATGAGGTTCCTGGTTAGGTTTAGAACCTGTAGGTATTTTAATTTTTGGAAGGCACCTGGTGCCAAACTGGAGATGGAGTTGTTAGACAAATCTAAGATTTTGAGCAGTGGGGTTCCAGTGAATGAATTTTGGTGGATTTTCCAAATGCGATTATTCTGTAACTGTAGTATCTGAATTTCAGGAGGTAGATGGGTAGGGATTTCAGTAAGTCCTCTATTCTTGCAGTCTGCAGTCTTTGAAACTGTATAACAGAGGCATTTTTCAGGACATCCATGAGTCACATGTATTACTAAGATGATGCTCAGAAACAAAAGCCAGTTACCTGTGTCACAAGTGAAAGAAGCAATAATGTGAAATTGATTTTTTTAATATACAGATCAGTAAAAAAAAGCAAAGGTTATGCAGTCTGATAATAAACAGCAATGTAGATAATGAAAAGAAATTTAGTTTTTAATTTATGTTATTAAATCCTATGTGATACCAAAATTCTTATGTAATGCAGAATAAAGTCAGTGCTTCAGTGATCCTAAAGTGAAGTACTTCCTACTTAAGCACAAATAGCTTTCAGCGGGTTTGCCAGAAGCGAAGCCGTGAAGCTTGAATAAAATGTTTTCCCTAAGTTTTTAAAACTATTACATTGTAATGATTCACTCTCCATAGCAGTAATAACTTTGAGGCATCTTATGCCAGAAGAGTTCCAAATAGAGCTTTTATTTTTCTGCCTTTATATTAGCCGTGCTACCTAGAAAGAATTAAGTTAATGTACTGTCAAAAGAATAAAAAGCTTCAAAGACTTCRCTATAAAAACAGATAAGAGCAATTTTCAGCAATCCAGATTCTGTAGGGTTTTTTTTTAATATCCATGTTCATACTTTTCATGTGAATTCCCTTATCTGAATGTTAGCTGTATTTCCCATAGATATTAGTTTCTAAACACTAAACCTGCATTTGTCAGGAAGCTGCTAAAAAGATAAATGAGGTCACAGGAGTACTTAGTAGAAATTAGTATTTATAGCAGACTGAAAAATCGTTTTGTAACCTTCTTTTTCAGATACCTCAAGTCATTGCTACTGTTTACTACTTTAAAGTAAAAATAAAAATTAAAAAAATAGACAGTTACTACTTAAAACCTTTTAGAAAATGAAGGATAAGCCACTTAGATCAGATCAAACATTAATTAGTAAGAGATCAATCTCTTGAAGAAAAACTGCATGCGATTATACATATATACATATGCGATTATATATATATACATATATCGCAAATGTATAAATGAAAGCTATTTTAAGAATATAACTTACAAAATATTAATTTTCACTTTAAAATGAATTATATTTAAATCAAAATTATACATAATCTGAAGATTTTCAATCCTCTGTTGTAGGATTCACTTGAAAAGATTCAGCCTCCATACAAGCAAGATAGACAGTATGTTCAATTCATTGTATAGCTCTGCAACAGTTGGCTGCAGAAACTGAGACACAACTTCCCCTGTAGTTTTAAAAATAAAGTTGTCTGGTAAGGCAGTATTATTTAGAGCACGGAATAATTTCACTATTTCTAGTGAAATTATTCTATAGTCTAAAGGCATCAATATCTCACCTTTCATGCTTGTTTGCTTGCTCTCCACCAGTTTTTCAGTGCAGATCAGTAACATACACTTTGATCCGATTCTCACGTCAAATTCGTAGTGTGCCCATCCAGTTTCCTTTGTGTCTTTTTTTGGACAGTATCTATGGGTGGCATAGAAGTGCAGCTATTTCTCATGGGTTATTCCATCAGCCGTCAGGTTTTTTTCTTGATTGTGATCTTTGTTTCCACTGTCCATCTATGACTCCCAGAGGCTGACTCTGCCTCTTGTAATCAGTCAACTGGCCATGCAAGGAGTGTCTGTCGACTCTTAACTGGACAGCTGTCGCATACAAATCATGACCTGAGAGCCCTGCCTTTTCGATTATTTAATCTGCCTCAAGTGCAAGGCACAAAAATAAAGCTCCTCTCTTTAAATCCACTAGAGTTTCTGAATTTGAGGGGRTTATTAACTATGCTGTGTCAATTTTTGCAAGATCAGATGATTCTGACTGGATTCTGACTGATCTGATGGATTCTGATTATCCTGGGCTATGACTGGAGGCAACGGAGTGTATACTATCACTACGAATTGCCCTGTGTGTTGATGACATGGTTTTGACAGTGCACTTGTTTGCTCTTCTAAGCTTACTCTTCTGACATCCAAAAGGATTAGGAATACTGACAGGATTTGCTTGCATGAGAACACTAAACTGGTGCCTCAGTAAAAATGACATGCACACTTGTGTGGTCATCGAGAGTAATGAACAAACTTATTTCTTTCACAATTTATTGGGGATAAGTAGTGGGCGGTATTAAACTAACACTCCATGAATCCGTATGGTGATTTGACCTGTCTGTGACTTTTCCAGTTTAAATCATTCATACTACAGCAGTTGTAATGACAAAAGGATTGATGCCCTGATGTTTTAAAGAAGTCAAAGGTTCAACTCACTTCTTAAACCTGCAGCAACAGGAGATCTTGGGCACTGCAGTTGCTGCTCAGAGAGCAGGTTGAAAAAGCAGGTGTGTTATCAAGAGCTGTAGTTGTTGTTACTGTGTGCTTTGCTGAATGGTTTCTGACACAAGTCAGAACACTTAAAGGAAGAGTGAGCAGAGCAGAACAGTGACTGACASCATGAAACAAGTGACATTGTGAAAAATAAACACCACTCTTCATCTGGAGGCTGCTGGGATTATTGCTGCCAGAGGCAGACCATATTGTTTGTGGCGCTCTTGATGAATGGCACCTCATCTTGATACCAGATGAAGGGCTGCAATTCAGTGTAGAGAAATCCCATAAATATGCACTCCTTGGCACCACCACCATATTAAATAGCTCCAGCTTTCCATAGGAAAGGGTGATGAGTTTGAAGATAGATCACTTACAAAATACTTTGTATTAATATGAAGTTAAAGCAAAACATTTTTGTTGCACAATATATTTATCTTTTACTTTCCCAACCTCTGTATGTATGCACACATACAGACATAACACAAATAATATCAATGAATCATTTTAATGAAGATAGAACTTAATATCTTAAGGACTCATCTTTTGTATCAATAATTAGCCTTTTCATGGCTTTTGTCAGTATTGTAGAATGTACTAGCTTTTCTATATTTTTTTTTTTACTGTTGTGATAATACTTCTGAGTTTTCTGTGGGCTTAAAATTGTATTTTGGTTCATGAATTCAAAGAGTCGCTTTTTTAAGTTGTTCCTTTTTAAAGAAGTTTTGCTGACCAGGTGGGTTTGCAGCTCTCGAGGCACRTTGTGTTGTCGTATGGAAGCCTTAAAGAATGTCCCTCAACCACCTCTCTTATTTTAGGTAATCCTTAGCTGCTACAATTGTATTATTTTTAGCACTCACCATATTAAAGAGATGATCATAGGACAAGGTCATAGAAAGTTAAACACTGTGTGAGGTTCACTTCCAACAGTAACACAGAGGTTGTTTTATGTGCTCTGAATTGTGGTGTAAGAAGTTATTACTTTCTTTTTTGTTTTGTTTTAATCTTCATGCCGAGTTCAAATTTGGAAACATATGATTAAATCTGTCGATTTGCTTTTCATGTAGATGTGGCTATTTTTTCCCTTGTATTGAGATCTCTGAATACACATATTTAGTAAACAGATTTTTTCCCCAACCTATAATCCATGTCCTACTCCCATTTATTAGTAATAATACTTTGGTTGTGACAGAGAAGTCTGATGTGGTGAAAATTATAGTTGTCACACAGGTAGAGATTTGCCAGAAACAGAATAACCATGAAATCTACTCTACTTCTGGCCTCTTAAACAACCAGATGAATTCTTTTCAGTTGTCTGATGTGGTGCAGCAACTGTGTTATTGTGACTGCTTAAATTAACTTGTGCCTTGTTGTAACAAGATATGTTTCCCATTGCAATAGGCAAGGCAGACCAATGAACATCCTATCCCTGTTTGCTGGTGGGGGTAGTTCTGCTTTGCCAGCATAYGTTTTGCTACGACAGTTCATGTCTATTCTGAGGACAAAGTGTGTATTAGAGTCATCTATTTTATGGAAGAACATCATCTGGATTAAACTTTCAGAAAGGAAGAAATTTAATTAAATCATTCAAATACACAAAAACTATAGCATTCCGCTTCCACTATGTTGTCTATCAAGTCCAGGTGCTTGGTTTAAAAACAAAACAAAAAAGAGAATTCCTGTGTATATATAAGATTCCTCCTAGTGGAGTGTATTCCTTCTATTTTTCAATGTGAAGATGTTAAAGAAGCAATAGTTATAGGGAAATCACATGAGCCTTAGCCTTAGTAATGTATGTCTGCTGCTTAGTAAACTCTTGCTAAAGACTCTAGATGCAGGCAATGMAGACTGCTCTTGATTAAGAATTAGGAGAAAAATAATTCTTGTGAAGTATCCCATGCCTCTCTTGTGTAACCTTCGTTATCATCCCTCCATCCTGCATCATGGAAAAAGATTTTGTTTTTGTCCAGCTATGACTCAGGACACAAGGCAAATAAAGATGAGAAGACACAAGAAACTCTTGAATTCCTCATGTTTTAACTTGGAGAAAGGCAATCCTTGTCCTCAGAGAGCTCTGGACCCACTCAGCTTGTGCCTAATAGGGAAGTAGATTMTCAAAAGTGGACAGGAGTTGCAGTAAGGCTAAGGAGCCTCTTCCTGCCTGCCTTAGAAGACAAGTCTAAGCCAATGGACCAAGCCAAATTTGGCTTGAGGTTCTAATTGACCTGAAATAGACGGTCATATTTTGYGGGAAGAGGTGACAATGCGGGTTTCTTTTTCCAAAGACTTCATTGGGTTATGTGGCATAAAGCCAGAGATTAAAGACATCAAATCTTGCTCATCATACAGTGATTTCTTTCTTTAAAGTGAGAAAAAAACATTTTGTAACTTTAGAAATAAGGAAACAAGCAGGCAGTTTTGATTGTATTTTGGATCCCTGACTTGGAGGGCAAGKGTAGAGTTTTCCTCTCTTCTCGGTGGCCTCTTTTGCCTTACTTGGATACATCTGGTACTTGTTTATACAATGCCTAATTATTCTCTGAAGCGTGTTGCTGGGACCAAAAGATTAGTAGGATTCATATATRATCTGGAGCCATGGTTACCTCATGGGACAAAAAAAAATCATTTAGAAGGGATATAAACTTTCACACTTATAGGCTTAAATCAACCACTAATGACAAGAGTTATGGAGAAAAACCTTTCCCTGTGGGCAGTGTTTTTGCATAATTATTATTTATGGGCACTTTTACTCCTTCCTGTGACACCTCCAGAAGAGACTGGGGCGATGCCGTGGCCAAGCGGATGAGCTGGAGGTGCCGCCTCCCAGGTCTGCAGCGCGTGTCCGTTGGCCGCCCCGCCGGGGCATCGCRCTGCATTCTTTGCCCTAGACTCTACCCAAGAAGGGACATTCTCTTACTACCAATCTACAGGTCTTGGTGGTAGTCTGGAGATGTCTGTTTGGGTCAATCCTTGGTCTGCAGGTTTCTCAGTTTTCAATCTCACTCAGGTGATGCAACACTTCCRGTTCCGAAGGAATATTGGTCAGCGGTTTGTGGTGATGGTATGACTCTTGTGCCATGTAGCTTGGAGCGGGTTTGGCTTTTAACCCCTTTTCCTGTAACTAAARGAGTCAAGGAGATGTGAAGGTGGGAAGAGGTTCTTTGGAGATGATCAGACACCAGCGTTACAGCACACTCTACTAGATAGAGAATTTATTATGGGGGATGAAAACCTTTAGAGTGAGCATAAGCACAGGGAACAGAGATGCCGGATTAATTTACCTTAATTGCAGGTTAGATAAAGTTGCAGCTAGTGGCCTTTAACTCATGTGTTATGTGCGTGCAGATATATTGTTACTGTCTCAAACAGCAGCGTTTAAAATAACCTCCAACACTGAATGAGTTCCTGACTTGGGACAATATCCTGTTGTATATGCAGAACATCATCTTTCTATGTATAGATAAAATATATCTCCAGTAAGTATGATTAGAGTTAATTAGTGTGTTCATTTTGTTGTTAGTGTAAATAGAAACATATGCTGCTTGACATCAGGTGATAGAAACCAAAAGGATCAAAAACTAGGAACTGGAAAATAATGCCAAAAAATCAAGAACAATAGAGTGTGCATGTTGTTTCATTTAAATATCTTATATGTCTTCGGTCCTCTCTCAAATGCTTTAAAATGAGGTCATTTTAAAGAACGGTAGTTCTAGATTGCTTGCTCATGTTTCACCAGAGGAAAAGTTCCTTTTCTAAACTCTTCTGTTTTTGTTCTCTTTATATATATATATATATTTTTTTTTTTCAATAAGAAATTATTTTTATGGCTATAGTTGACTCTGGMTTCAAACTTGGGAAGAAAATGTGGATTTCCTGTGGCTTTTGAATGCTTGTTTTACTGCAACTATCTTACAGCATTTTGAATGCCAGGCAATAATCCTCTTCAATACTGCTATGTAGCAGTTACAACTAGCAGGCCTCTGAATATGGTGGATAGATAGAAATTRGAATATCAATGTTCATTGCTAATGGGACTACTTCACCAATGGTGTAAGAATGTTGTAAGCTTTTTTGGTCTGATTCTGGGAATGAGCCTGATACAATAGACAGTGTGCTACTTTTCTTGTTCTTCTTTGTTCCTCTCTAAATTTCTGTCATGCCAGCTGTTTTAACTGATAGAGCAGCAGACACAGAAAGCCTGTGCACTATAGCATGCCAGAGATCACATGGAATGCTCTTTTTTATTTATTTTTTTAATCTGCAAACCGATTTTGAAACACCAAGCAGACTTTTAAAATGTCTTTTTCCCCACATAATGTTTTAAATGAAATGATGGGGTAGAGAAATGTGCTGATTTTTGATACGATAAATCTTTGGGAAACATAGGTAATATAAATGGTAATGATGTTTCTGTTCAGAATTTCTAAAATGGGCCACTGAGAAATCTTTCTGGTGCAAGACAAAAGAGGGGAAAAAAAATAAAACTCTTACAGAGCACATTTTATTAATGAGAATTACAATAGAGGCAAATCTGGTACAGATTAGCAAAGAACAGTAACTGTGTATCCAAATGGAACTGGTTGGATAATTAAATTCCTTTAATAGGTACTGAAATTTAAACTGCTTGATCCCACTGACGTTAGCATAACTCTTAACAGTCGTGGAACTTGATTCTTTCTAAAAGTGTAATGTGGGAGAGAATGGGGAAGATGACTAAGGATTTCAGATAACCTAGGAAGAGAT